GTTAGGGACCAAGTTTCACACTCATAAAGAACCAGAGGCAAAATTATAGTTTGTATATTCCAATTTTTATGTTTTTGGACACCAGACGAGAAAACAAAAGTTCTGGACTGAAATGTAGCTAGTTTAACTGGATTCAATCGCCTCTTAATTTCCTCCTGAATCAGGTTTCGATCTATTATCGCTGTTCCGAAATATCTGAACTGTGCCAGATTTTCAAAACATCTGTTTCCTATTTTTATGTCCTGATTTTGCCCCGCATTTTGGTGACGGGACAGCAACATATACTTATTTTACTTCTTCCTGGGTTGTGAAATGAATCTCCTACTGAGGACAATTTGCCGAAGTGGTAACGCATCTGATTTCTGTTTGGGAGGGATCCGGGTCGAATCTCAGCTTCGAAATGGACACTTCTGACTGAGGATTTTATTGTTTTATGCAGTTCCTTCACACAACTGTCACAATAATACCTCGAATTAGGCCAAGCCTACTGCCTTTCAAATATTTTCCAATTCACTAATAATCATACCACTAAACTCTTCTTCTTCTTCTACTTCTACGACTACTACTACTACTAATACTACTACTACTTCTACTACTACCACCACCTTCATAGATTATGTTGTCTGGCCTGTGCCCATTCAGAATTAATTAATTCTGAAATATGAATTTTATGGACAGTTTTTTCTTTAATTCGCTTAGTTGGGTGGTGGAGTCCAAATGGGTCCACTCGCAGGAAGACTGGTAGAAGATTCCCTTTAAAATCATACAGGACCTCTATTCCTCTATTTCTCCAAGCAGTTCCGTAAGCCATAGGTTTTCCTACACCATATTGATCGTGTGAGGGGTAGGCTTTTACGGCCCTTGCACCGCGACCTACAGTGGTCTATTGTGCTTCCTACACCATATTAGTCACGGTAATGTGTTTTTGTTGAGTGTTTCCATATTTTGGTCCATCCCTGTATAAGGTATATAGTACACTCATAATATTGCGGGTAATTTTTATTATCTTTACACACTTTTAAAGAAAACCCCAGAGTACTGACAAATGCAAACTCTAGAGCAGTGTTTCAAATTATTTCTTGAATTTTAGGCTGAAGATCAATGTGTAACACTTGTTTGCATGTTTTCCCGTGTATTACGAGCGGAACTGTTACTGTGCAGTACACATGTGTGCGCACTCGTCTGAATTTCAACATTTCAATGCCTGAGACTTGAATTAGATAAATGGAAGGGAAAAGAAAAACAAGTCTCTACATGCTAGATAAAAATGTTCGAATTTTTTATTGAGAGGGGGGTCTCGCTTTCATAAAGCATCATTTATTCTCAAAGGAAGTTATCTGATGTAAAAAGTAGTGCTGTAATTCAATATAAGGCTTCTGAATTTGAAATACTGCTCTTAGAATTCTTCGAACCAAACTTCATATATAAAACAGGAAACGGCAGAGGAAAAATGGCCAAATGGACAAAGAGATGGACAAGCAAGTACAGAATGTGAATAAGGAACAATAAGGGATTAACGTTTCTGGGCCTGAAGTTCGTCTAAATATTTAACAATTCGATTTCTAAATCACAGAAAACTCATCAGCCTCTATTACAAAGTTCAATCAGTTAATGCTCTTTAGAGAAATAACCATTTCTTAGTGTGAGAGCCATACTAAACCATAAGTAAACTGTGTAGGTAAAAAGGCAGAGTTTTAAAATATATAAGCAGAACTTGAAAGATCCTTACCAGGTTCGCAGGAGCCAGCCACTGGATCGTATTCTGAGCCATGTTACTTCATTTGAAACCCTCACATTCTGTTTCTTCGAGTTACATTTTAAAATCGGTAAATTACAATAACTGATTCTATATTCTTTATAGATAAAAGCAGCGTTTACTTCGTTCGTTTATCACAAAAATTGTAGAAATCACAGCATTTTGATTAACAAGATTACAATTTTTATTACTCTACAGTGACGGGCATTTAAATTAACTCCGTCCCGCTACCACTACCGGAATTTAAATGGCCGTCTCTTAAAGGTAAGTCATCCATCTCCACGCCCTCCGTACTGCAAATTCCCGATTTCGCGAAGGAGTTTGTGCTAGTACTATCCTCTTATCAACACCTAAGTACCAAGGTATGGGTGTAACACTGTAGGCTTTTGTTCGAGAGTTGTTGTGTTCGAATTTCTGCCAGAACACAGGCTATCCTGACTGATGTTTCTTGTGGTTTTCCTCAGTCACTCCAGGAATACATAATTAAGGCCACAGGCGCATTCTTCCAAGTTATTTCCAAGACGTAGCACACCTATCATACTACCACCCGATGTTATATTGTATTTATACTAAAAGGAATCGCTAATGACCCACGGAATAAAAAATCTAGGTCTTTCATATGGTCTCTCCCCTTCATATTCTCCAATCAAAATTCTGTATGAATTTCCCTATAGGGTGTGAAGCCATCTAGATAGGTCGCTCTACCATTTTTAAATATATATTCTTACATCAAAAATATTTGTAAAAATTTGTAATGCGCTCGGTTTTCCAGGTACGGCCATTTTTACAATGCGAAAAAACGCGTTTTCTGCTGAAATGGAGGTTCGCGTTATCTCCAATATCTTGATACCTATTGAAGCTAGAGTTTCCAATAAAAAACCAATTTGTTCCTTATGATATGTACTATAATTCACATTATTACGAAGGTTTGCTCAATTCACTTTTTGTAGGTGTAATTACAGCTTGAAACTTACCTATCGATTTTGGGAAATAAGCTATTTTTGACCTTTAAAAACCAATGGAAGGGTAAAGTATTAGGTGTGTGCTTTCTGCCCTTTCTTGTTGCCTACTTGGGGAATATAGTCACGTAGTTTTGAACTCCGTATCTATTTTCGAAAGATTTCCAGGAGCTTCCGAACTTCGTTCTGCACCGAAAATCGACAAATTTAACATCTCATATCTCCGCCGGGGAAATTCCGAAAATTTTGCAATTCATAGTAAATAATGCTCTGTTCTAGAGTGATTTGGATTTAAAATTACAATTTTGCTATTCTACTAATATCGAAATTGTGGGCAGTTTGAATTTTACTAAAAAACTCAATACCTCAACAATTGACTTACCTACATCCAGTGGTATTAGTTGTGGGTGTGTTGGACGCTCGACTATTTATTGGAACCAGTGAAGACGAAGACCGCCTCTGTGGTTCCTGGCTACAGAATCAGAGGTCCCGGGTTCGATTCCCTGCACTACCAGATTTTCTGAGCAGTTGTGGGTTTGAAACGGGGTCCACTCAGTCCCGTGAGGATAATTGAAGAGATATTTAAAGGAAATAGCGGTTCCGGTCTAGAAAATCGAGATTAACGGCCGTGGCGATTTGTTGCGATGACCACGCGACACTCTCTAACCGCTGAAGTTGCCGCTAACTTCGCCGACAAGCGGCGGTCGCTGGGTCGGTATAGTGCGCTTGCGGAATAAAAGCCACGGAGTAACGAAGATGAAGTACGGGTATCGTGAGATAATTTGCTCTAATTCTCGATGTTGTCATATAACGTTGATAGTATCGCTATTCGATATAATGGTACCTTCACACAATTTAATATCGGCACTTTCTCCTATGAATTTGTCGAGTAACGTGGAGCTACCTGTGATACCGAGTGAAGGGCCACAGTGTTGCAAAACTTAACCGGTATTTAAATCGACTGTGTACAACGAGAAATCTATGGCGACTGGTTATAACTTATAGAGGCCATATGATGCATATTCAAGGAACCGAAACTCAAGAGGAACTCATACAGCCTCCATTCCTGTTGCATATGCTTTTACTTCTACAGTATCTTTAGCATTATTACAGGTATTTCGTTTTACTTCTCTGAAGAACTTGTAACTTTAAATTACGGTTACGATAAACAGAATTTCATTCAGAATCTGCAGGTGTGTTTAAGACACATTTCAATATCAAACTCCAGGTACCTTGTTCAAAAGGTTACCACCCTCAAACCGAAAGCTAAATACAAACATCAGGTCGCGTCCTGTATTTCCTTTATAGTCATCTAAAAAAATGGAAGTTTCGATGTTTCAAGATATACTATTTACGTTACACTACTTCTATCTTCCACCTCTGAAGTTCGCGCATCCCCATGCTGTCATTATTACTTATTGCAGGAAGTTAAAAAGTACTGCATTTCAGTGCCCTAAAACAACAGAATGTTCACAGCACATTTCACGAAAATTGGTCAGCTGCTTTAAAAGGTCAAAGGGGAAAAATGGCATGCTGATCTCGTTACTTCACTTCATTTCAACACTTGAGAGAAGCAGTGTAGAAAGTGGCCATGTATAGATCAAAATAAATAAATAAATCTTGTAAACTTCAAAAGTTTTTATTCAGTCTAAAGAACAACATTTCCATTGCTGTCACACCAAGCAGTGAGTCATATTCATTTTTACAGGTTTTGCTACCATCACAAATAAACCACTGCTTTTAATGGCGACTTTCATAACTTACGAAGAGCTGCCACAAATGCATTAATTTATCAACTCTAATACAGCTGGAAAAAGAAATTCAACAGTGTTATTTAGTGCATTAATAGTGCTGAACTTTAACTGTGGTACAGAATAATGTTTTCCTGTACAGATTTAAACACAGTAAAGTTAGATGCAGTTCTTTCAATATTTCAACTCACTGCAAACACTGTTAATAGCCATAGATATACATATAGATACGAGTATATAGATATATGTACATGCTGATAGAAATTAATTCTGTATTCTTGTGTCACTTTATATTTACAATTGGTGAACTACAGCATCTGCAAAAATATGCTACTTCAAACACCAACTGATCGCCTTCTCTTGTCTGTGCAATGCTATAACTGTTTGCTTGATATGAGAACCCGTGAGCATATCTTCCATAAATATAAACTTACAAAAATATCAAAAAATAAAACTCACGTTTTCGTAGTGTGTACCAGTAGGCGATACTATTAATACGCTGGCAGTGATCATCAGCTACAAAGTACGCCAGTCTCAGACCATACGAATTGACACATGGATGCTCAGGTTGCCCTTATCTGCAAAAAGTTGGGTAGTGCAGGGGTCAAATACGAGACAGTCAGAGTTCCTGATTTCTAGGGGGATTAGTTGATGCATGGAACTTAGTTTTCCTTCCCATGTTAAACGTCTTCTTTGACCATTCAGTTTTAAATTATATGAAAATCTTTCAGCCTGTTTCCTTGTCCCTATCAGTTGTACTATAGCATAGAGATGTTGATGTCCATCCCACTTCACTCGTTTCTCAAGTAGCAACCTAAAATGGTGGCCATAGCATGACTGTATCATGACCCACTTCCTTGTTCGTGGCTGATTGATGTCTGTTGCTTGGAATACAACATCCTCCCCTTGAAGAGTTGCTATTGATTTATGAGACTTCATAAGGTGAGTCATCACCTGCTCAAGGGAACCTTCCCACTTGCAAGAGGCCAGCCGGGACGGACAGGAGTATGGCTGGAATTCACACGCTTCTTCGTGTGCCCTCCTCTCAGTGTGTAGAAGGGCTACTGCACAGCCAAATACTGAATAGTTGCATGGGAGCATAAGAGTACTTGCAACTTTCTCCATTGCAAGGTTCCGAAAGTTTCCCAAACGTGCCCTGCATATTGGACAAGAAGTCAACTTGGCACGACAATTGGCGCAAATCACATGACCGTTACGACACTGTAGTACAGGAGCCTCCAAATAATTGCAGCACACTGGGCATTCGAATTCGCTTGCCAAATCTTCCTGAACCGTTGCCATTTCCAACCCTCCACCTGCGAACAGAGAAATAGAAACAAATATCATCAGATTATTCTGAAGGCACGTGAGAAGCTTAAAGCTAGACAGCAAACTCAACTATAGGAACGCCTCATATCTGTGATGGATTGTAGGACAGCTTGGCTGGAGCCGAATCACTCCGCCTACCTCTACTAGTGAGCATTCCTGGCTGAAGTGCGCTAATTTGTTAACTGTAATTACCAATTCACGAAATTGTATCATATCTACGAAAATCTCAGAAAAATTGATTACCTATGATTCCAAGGAAATATGCCTATTATTTTAGCACGTCTATTTCTTCCCGTCCAGCCGGACATAATGTTAAGAAAGAAATTCCTGGATCGTAATTAAGAATAAAAAAGGAACAGACGGAGCAGACTCGTGCAGCTGTAACGCTCTAAACCTGTATGCTGCAGGTGTTGGGTTCGAATCTGGACCTGAACACCAGCTGTCCGCACTGAAATATTTCATATTTCTTCTCAGTCCCTAAGGGAAAATGCTACGAGTGTACCTGGATCAGAGTAAAGTTTTCTTCCTTCCTAACACTTTCCAATTAATTATTCGTTAAGTCATTCCATCGTTTGATCCCATAGCCTATAGTCTGAAATCCTAAATGCGTCGTTAAACAAGCTACATAAAACAATAAAGTGCACATACGAGATTCTGTACATAGCTAACTTGATCCAGCTGAACCCAGTCCACATCCTCACACCCTGTTGCTTTAAGATTAATGTCAATATCTTCACGTGTTACTGACTGGACACGAGGTCCGGTATGAGCATCGAATGGACTGAACAAATGACATTCGTAACTACAAATAACTGCAACACTGTTGTATATGCTATGTTATTTCATTTGCATTTACTCTTAATACGTTATTTCATTAGCATTTAATTTTAATAGAAATGTAACAGAAATGGTAGCGACACATGAGCACGCAAGCATGCAGTCGAGATAACCAAGGGGGTCAGACACGTGACCTCCGTCTCACGGAGCTGTGGCTTCCAAAAGAACACGTACACATAGGGTACAGGGAGTGAAGCCCACTACTCCATTAACCCAACCGATATACAATCTGAAATAGAAAAACTAGGGCACTCCGTTACCCACATCCACAACATCAAACATCACCTAACCAAGGTCCCCCTCCCCATCTTCTTCGTAGATCTAAAACCAGCTCCAAACAACAAAGAAATCTTTAATGTGGAATACCTACAACAATGCAAGGTTAAGTTCGAACCCCCCAAACAAACAAGAACCATACCCCAATGCGCCAACTGCCAAAGGTACGGCCACACTAAAAATTACTGTCATCTCAAACCAAGGTGTGTTAAATGCGCCGGCTCTCACTCCACCACTCAATGTCTCCGAAAGGAAAAATCCAGTGATGTCCGCTGTGTCCTTTGCGGAGGGAATCACCCCGCCAATTATAAGGGCTGTATGGTTTACAAGGACCTCCAGCAGAAGACATTCCCACCACTCCATCCCAAAATCTATACTCCCCCAACCAACCTCAAGCAAACCTTACCCACCCAATCAAACCTAACCTATGCGCAGATCACCAAAGGGAATTCCTCTTACTCTCCCCACACAAGCGAACATCCCAACGCCATTCCCTCACCACCCCATTCTTTCCCCCAACAATCCCCCCAACAGCAACAAAATGGGGAAATCTCTGAACTCAAAACTATGATGAAGGCCCTCTTCGACCAATTGGGATCCCTATTATCCCTTCTCACAACGGTTCTAACCAAGCTCCATTAATGACCAAATTCTTGCAGCTTGCCATATGGAACGCCAATGGCCTCTCCCAACACAGAGATGAGCTCAAAATTTTTCTCCACACCCATGATATTGACGCCATGCTCGTCTCCGAAACTCATTTCACCGAAAAAAGCCACTTCCGCATCTCCCAATACACAGTTCACCACTCCAACCATCCAAATGGAACAGCTCGGGGTGGGACAGCCATAATTATAAAAAACTCAATTCAGCACCATCTACTAAATCCTTACAACCAAACCTTCCTCCAATCCACCAGTGTGACCCTAAAAGACACAACCGGTCCCCTGTCACTCGCGGCAATATACCTTCCCCCAAATCAAACTATCCACGAAAAGCAGTTAGAAGACTTTTTCCAATCCATTGGACACAGATTCATAGCTGGAGGCGACTATAACGCCAAACACACCAACTGGGGCTCCCGGATAATATCACCCAGAGGACGTGTCCTCCTCAAAACAATGGAAGACAATCATCTCCACCACCTGTCCTCCGGAGAACCCACCCATTGGCCCACTGACAGGAAAAAACTACCAGACCTCATCGACTTCTGTGTCACTAAGGGCATCCCAACCAACTTTGCTGTCGCAAAATCCTGTCTTGAACTCTCCTCCGATCATTCCCCGGTACTCATCGCTCTTGCTACCCAAGCCATACCACGAGTACCACCTCCCAGAATCTGCAACAGCAAGACAGATTGGGACGCATTTCGTCACCTCCTCAACAACAAGCTTCCACTAAAGGTCCCACTCAAAACCGACTCTGATATAGAATCGGCCATCAAGATCTTCAATGACTCTATTCAATGGGCAGGCTGGAGCTCAACACCAGAGAACCCCACCCCTCACCAAATCAAGACTTGCCCAATACTGATCACCCAAAAGCTACAAAACAAAAGGAGACTCCGGAGGAACTGGCACCGCCTACGGACACCGGAGAGCAAACGTCTATTCAACGCCGCCACACGGGAACTCAAGCAACTCCTCACAGACTATAACAACTCAAGTTTTCAAGACTTTCTGCTCAACCTCTCCCCATCGGCATCAACCAATTACTCTGTGGAAAGCGGCCAGGAAAGCTAAACAAATCCCAATTTCCTCCTATCCACTTCGGATTCCATCAGGATCATGGGCCAAGACCAGCAAGGAAAAAGCGGAGGCCTTCGCAAACCATCTAACGGCCGTATTCCAGCCACATCCAACTACAAACCCACCAGAAGACGAAGAAGCACTCACCCACCACCTAGAAGAGCCGCATCAACTCGAACTCCCCCCCATCCGCTTTCGCAAATCAGAAGTCAACTCCATCATCAAAGGCCTCAAGTCCTCTACCTCCCCAGGATACGACCTTATCACGGGGAAAATGCTAAAAGAACTACCTCCTGTTGGAATACAGTATCTCACCCAAATCTTTAACGCCTCTCTCCCCACTGGCTACTTCCCCGCTCAGTGGAAAGTAGCAAAGATCATCCTTCTCCTAAAACCGGGGAAACCCCCTAACGAACTCACCTCCTATCGACCAATTAGCCTATTACCCATCCTATCCAAAGTCTATGAGAAACTTCTCCTAAGTCGCCTCCTTCCAATAGTCGAAACAAACAGCTTGCTACCTAACCACCAGTTTGGATTCCGCCAACGGCACTCCACGATTCACCAAACACACCGATTAGTTCACAAAATCAACGAAGCACTGGAAGCCAAGGAATACTGCTCTGCGGCTTTTCTCGACATCTCGCAAGCCTTTGATAAAGTATGGCACCCAGGACTTCTTTATAAGCTCCGACAGTCCCTTCCACTCAACTACTATCTCATCCTCAAATCCTATCTACACAACAGATTCTTCCAAGTCAAAATAGAAGAATCTTATACTAACCTCCACCCCATCAATGCAGGAGTGCCCCAAGGGAGTGTACTTGGCCCACTGCTCTACCTCCTTTTCACCGCGGACCTACCAACATCCCATGACTCCATCACTGCCACCTTCGCAGATGACACTGCGATCCTAGCGTCAGACCCCAATCCAACTGTAGCCTCACAAAAACTGCAAAACAACCTACAAGCAATCCATGAGTGGCTAACCAAATGGCGCCTAAAAGTCAACAGCATGAAGTCAACACACGTCACATTCACCACCCGAAGTCAAACTTGTCCCAAGGTCAATATCAACAATGAGGATCTCCCACAATCAGATGATGTCAAGTACCTCGGTCTACATCTGGACAGACGCCTCACTTGGCACAAGCATATCTTTACCAAAAGAAAACAACTTGGTCTCACACTTTCCAAAATGTACTGGCTTATAGGCCGTAAGTCCAGTCTCTCAATACACAACAAACTTCTGGCATACAAGGTCATCCTCAAGCCCATCTGGACCTACGGATTACAACTCTGGGGGACAGCATCCAACTCCAACATAGAAATACTGGAACGCTTCCAGTCAAAAGTACTGCGCCTAATAACCAACGCGCCATGGTACGTCCCAAATTCGATCATCAGGCGTGATCTTCAAATCAACACAATCAAGGAAGAGATCAGCCAATGGAGCTCCCAATATAGAGCTCGACTACATACACACCCCAACGAACTTGCAGCTCAACTACTACAACCACCAGACCTAAGGCGCCTCAAACGACACCAGCCAATCGATCTGATCATCAGATTCAAAATATAATCTTAGTTAGTAGTTTAGTTTTAAGTTTAGCTTAAATCTTAGTTAGTAGTTTAGTTTTAAGTTTAGCTTAAGTTTCTCCCCTTCTCCCACCAGGCCCCAACCTATTCTTATACGGAGGGGAACTAATGAGCTCCCCTCCACACGTCATTTCACACAACTCACAACAATTTGCTAAATGTATTTATACAGATTGCAAATAAATGGGGATCTAAAAAAACAAAAAAAGAACAAAAAAGAGGCGAGACATAAGCAAGCAAACTAATAGAGCTCTGCTCTGAAATATTCCTTACGACTTGTGGTGTTATTAAAAGAAATAATGAAAACCCAGTCTGATACAGATAGAGCGAGAGACTAGTCGTTGAACGAGATAGCAGCTAGGTAGAGCCAAGACAGCCTTCCCTCCCTGGAACCCTAACAATCAGTCCTCAGGTTTAGCGTATATGTGTAACCTACAGAAACTGGTTAATAAATTCAATTGCTAATTACACCGCTCTTGTCGGATCACTCGATCCTCCTCAGTCAACCCGGATCCCCAGCGATTTCCACGCGCGCCCAGCCTAAGAAGCACCAGACCTAGACCTGACTTGTGCGCCGGTAACATCCACGATACGCCAGCGCCGGGCACCCAGCGAGGAACTTCGGAATACAACACTTTCACTATTCTGTACCGTCTAGAAATAACTACAGTATTAAATACAAGGTGACACAGAAAAACGGGAACTTTTGAGGTGCGTAGTGGCAGCCATGTACAGTTAGCAGCACTACGGAAGTGGGACTGTGACCTGTAAACAATCACGCCATTCAGTAATAATGGAGGAGTTGAACGGTAGACAGCGTGCTTTCGCGATAAAAATGTTTTACAAAACCGACGATAGTTTGGAAGGTGCGCAGAGGGAGTTCCATCGCTTTTTCAAATTAGGGCGTCATGGTCGCGTTCCTTCAAAACACGCGATAAAAACTTGGGTTCAAAACTTTGAAGAGACTGGATCTGCTCTGAAAAAGAAACCGACAGGACGACCGAGAAGTGTTCGTACTCAACAGAATATCGAAACTGTACGCGTTTTAGTCTTACAGAGCCCACAGCGTTCAGTTCATAAGCAAGCAGCTGCAGTCAGAGTGTCCCGAGAGAGTGTTCGCCGAATTCTCCGTTTTGATTTAAATTTTCATCCGTACGAGGTGCAAATTGTGCAACAACTGAAGGAGAACGCTCACCAGTTGCGATTACAATTCGGTCAGCAAATTATGACAAACATAAACGAGGACAATGAATTTCTGGACAAGCTGTGGATGTCAGATGAGGCCCATTTCCATCTTACGGGTTATGTGAACAAGCACAACTATCGTTACTGGGGAGACAGCAACCCTAAAGAAGTTCGTGAACGCCCTTTACACGCCAGCAAGGTCACAGTATGGTGTGCAGTTTCGTCACACGGGGTCATCGGACCTTACTTTTTCGAAAATGAAGACCGGATCACAGTGACTGTCACTTCGGATCGGTATGTTGAGATGTTGCAAACTTTTGTTGCACCTGCATTGAACAATTTCCCACAACTTCACGAAAGCTGGTTTCAGCATGATGGTGCGACATCGCACACTGCAAGGCAATCAATTGCAGCTGTGCGAGAATTGTTTGGTAATCGTGTCATCTCAAGATTCGGTGACATTCCTTGGCCCCCAAGATCACCGGATTTATCAGTTTGTGATTTTTTCTTGTGGGGCTACCTCAAGAGTCGGGTCTACACGACTCGGCCAAGGACACTGGATGAATTGAAACAAAGAATTGAAGAAGAAATTCGTGGTATCCCAGCTGAGATGTTGCAGCGATCAGTGGGGAACCTGAACAACAGATTAGGAGAATGTATACGTAGACAAGGAAGCCATCTGCAGGACGTAATTTTCAGAAATTGATAATTTGGATTGTTGTTTCTTAAAAGGCAAGTTCTAGTGGTTCAATTACCGTCAATAAAATTTTTTGTTGTTGCATATATTCTATTTTTATTTGTTTGCCAAAAGTTCCCGTTTTTCTGTGTCACCTTGTATATTGTCGCTCGTTGTGTATATAACGCGCGACAAATAACTTCATGCCGTCTTGGGAATAGTGATTTTATTCCACCCGCTCTTGCCATCACAATATTTACAACTTCACAATTACTGCCATCGGCAGTATCACTAATACTATACTGCAATTAACTGGTTACTCTTACTCTAGTAACTGGCTCAATACTCACTATTCCCGGACTAATCACTCACTAGTTACTGAATAGTGTTCGCTGCTCCTTATTTAGCCTCGGCACGGACAACACCGAAAACAGTTACGTAACAGGTACCGCTGTTGACTGACGCCGTGTTTACAGGTTGCCTAGCAACACTGTCGTGAGTTGTTTACTGCTCTGTAGCA